ACTCTAAAATCCCTTGCATACCTTCCCCCTCTCCCACACACACACACATACACACTGCATGTTTATCCATTGAGTAACTTGTCTCGTGTGATTGATGTATTCTTTTTTTTTTTTTACAGAGGTTAGGTAATGACCTAAATTTCAAACCTGAATTTCTTCTCAAGCATGTCCCACAAAGACTGACGCAAACATCTCAAAGTACATTTCAACAGATACTCGAATCCTCGATACTGAATAACCTGCCTCTCTGGCATGTTCGACTGCAACCAACAGGAGCCACACTTCACAGAATGCAATTAACCACAGATCGCAAATATGCTGGTGGTCCAGTAATGTGTGTTTAGAGGACAAGACTGCACAGGTACTCGTTCACAAGACCTGTTTTCTTCAAGAGTGTGCCTTATGTTAAAGCTAGACACTTGGAACGAGTTTATAGTAAAAGAAAAAGCATATGGCTTAAGATCAAGTTGCATCATTTTCTAAAACAATTACATCTGGAAAATATTTGGCAGGTTAATCAATGATGTAATAATCTTTAGGTGCGTCCCTAAAACAATTAAGAAACATTACAAAGTGAAGCAATATCTTAGCGTCAGTGAAACTTAATCTAACTACTTCATTTGTTGTCGTTTGGCTGGATTTCTAAAGTGCAAATGGTCTACTTTCTTGCACATTGACAAAACAAATTAGAATGTAAAGACATCAATACTAGCTATCATTACCAATACTAAGAAAATGCTAAATGAATGAAGGGGCGATTCAGTCACGACAACATGTTGGTGTGCAAACAAATTGAAATGGAGCGAGAATGTGAGAGAAACATGACTTGAAAACAACATGCTCAGGAGGATGGTGCTGTTGAGTGAAATAAATAGCAAGATATATGTATGAGACACAGAAACACACACTAGCTGCATGGGAGAGAGAGGCAGGAAGGGTGAGGGAGAGGAGGGATTGAGAAGAGGTTTAAATTAAGGGGATCTTTCTACTTCCTTTTTACCCATCATCCCTGGCTTCAGCACGTGTCACAGAGCGTGTTCATTACATTGACAGCCGTTTTCTCTCCCCTCTCTCCGCCCACACACACACTAACACAAACAATCTCTCAGAGAACTAGGGGAAGCACATTCACAAGGATGAAGTGCAGACCCTGCCTCAGCTGAAACACATTTCATTCACACACGCACTTTCCTTACGCCTATTCATACAAAATAAACACTGACATTTACCCGTCATAAATAATCGCCTGCAGTTAATGTTGTTAAACTTCGCAGCCAAAATGTGTATTACTGGAGTTGAATATAACGCAACTAAACTCTTACTGGGACGGAGTGGCGCAGTGGGCTGTGTGTTGATCATCAGACCAAGGGTGGCGTTGGGGAACTCCAGGTCGAAACCCACCCCCGCCGCCACTGCGTCAGGCCGTTGTGTCCTTGGGCAAGACACTTCACCCGAATTTGCTCCTGTGGGTACTGTCCACAGTACATGACCGTTACATGTATGATATGTGTGTAATGTATACTTGTAAAGCGCCTTGATGACTTCGACGTGTGAAGATGGGCGGAGTGGCGCAGTGGGCTGTGCGTTGATCATCAGATCAAGGGGGCGTTGGGGAACACCAGTTCGAAACCCGCCGCTGCGTCTGTAAAGCCGTTGTGTCCTTGGGCAAGACACTTCACCTGAATTTATGTGTAATGTGTATTTGTAAAACGCTTTGAGCATCTGGAAAAGCGCTATAATAAATGTAAGGAATTATTACTAACCTAAGCCTTTGTCACTTGTGCTGTACAGATAAATGTCTGTATCCTTATACAATAAAAAAGGAACATTTTCTCAATAAACTATGATGCCAAAAAGAGGGAGGGAGGACTTCTAAACCGCGTGTCACATCACTATTTTCATCCTTTTCGCAAAAAGCTCCCGTTGGTCTGATTTACTTTCATATCAAATACGTTTTATGCACAAGCAATGCAACATACACCAACTGCCTCATAAGAGATACTGGAGGTTGAGTTAAAAGAAAATAAGGAACTACTACACATTGGAGTGAAAACATGCTCAATTGGAAATACAATAATTATTCTGTACTGATTTATGAAAGAAATCTTAAAAAAATACAATGAAAAAGTTAAGACTCTTAAAAGAAATGTCAACTCCAAGTCTCAATGTTTTAACGTGCAGGAATCTCCCTTTGCAAATGGTCTATTCCTACATTTTCTAAAAGACAATATTAATTATAGATACAATTGTGCTTTTTTTGTTGAAAACTGCAATTCTTGTGATAAATGTTTTTTTTAAAAAGAAAAGAGAAAGGGCTGCAAACATGGGAAAGGCAGGATGTGGGGAGAGTGTGCAGGTGGATGCACAGTGCAGAAGAGAGGCTGGGGAAGCCGCTTGCTCCCATGATGCAATGCTCCTGCTCTGCCACTAGGAGTCTCCTCCACTAAGGGGAAGACCAGCAGAGGAACTCCAGAGAAATCCCTGCTCTCCTCTGGTGCTGGAGCTCTGCAGCTTCAACATGCAAACAGTGCAGTGATTACATGGAATCTCTGAACACAGAAAACATATATTAAATTAAAATGTACTTGACTTTGCAAAAAGGGAAGGGCTTCATTACTTATGACATCATTTAGCTACAAGGCAAACTTAAATTCTATCACCGGCACAGACTCAAACCTGTCTGACCAGGACATACCTGCAGTCTCCTGTGGTGCAATAACAGCATGTGGATTACTTAACGCACATGCTTAGAGGGTGACAGACTCAAATGTGGCAAATGTTTCTAGAAAGCATGTCAGTTCATTTCTGCGGATGAAAAAAATAATGTGATTTCTATGAAATGTGTTGGTTGCTTGGTTAGTCAATATCCTCTTACTTTATCAAACAGGGCATTCATTTGAAGTATAGATACAAAGCTGTTATATTATCAGTCAAACTATTACAGTAAGTATTCAAAAATTATTCTGTACAGCTACATGTTTACTCTGTCCACCATTCAAGTGTCTTTACACAAGCAAAAGAACCCTTAAAAACGTTTTCGAAATGTCAAGCTGAAAATGTTTAAGAACTTTGAATAAGTCATTATTTACTGTTATGTGTAGAAACAAGAACTTATGGTATGTGCAAACTCCTAACATGAACTATTCTACAACGGCATGACTCTGGAAACAAAGAGTAGATTCAGAGAAGATGAATAGGCAGATTGAAATAAAGTTTCTGTTGAGCAACTTCAACCGTTCTTAACAAATGGCACCATTGTTGCTTTCTGAGCTTTAAAATAAAGAACAATAAAGAGCCTATTCAAGAGTTAGAGGTGGTTTAACTTGTTGCAACAGGTGCCTCAGTCTTTGAGTGAAAGGTGGAGACCAGAATCACACCACTTGACGTAAAAGACAAATCACACCCTCCCTGAGCGGGCCTGACCTGCACATCTGGTACAACCAGCTGAAGGAGGGCAGACTCAAACATCTACCCTCCTCCACTGCTCACTTCCTGACATGACTCCAACCGTTGGCTCGTCAGACAGGTGCCAAGAACTGGTTTCAGGGAGTGGCTTGCAAGTATACAAGACTCCTTTCCAAGAAACAGTTTTTACAGCATTTCCTGCACTCTAAGTTGAGTTCCTTAGAATCACATTCAACCCATACTTGATGCAAACTAAAATATGTTTTACTGCACCAAAAATGAGCTCTTCTAGACTAAAAAGGAACAATTGCTGGTCACTACAAAAATAGATATCACTGACAAGATACGGGGGTGCAGTGGAGGAGGGTGGGGGTGATTTCTATATGACCAATGGATGACGAAGCGATGAGCAAGCTCCATGACTCATCGGTGTGCACCGGTATTCCTCCGCATTTTTCAGCAGAATCACAAAAGAAATGTACATTAGTCATTCCTAAAGGCACCCTACCTTTGCGCGTCTCTTCGCATCTTATGGCGCACAGGACATCAATTAAACACTCATTCATAAAAAAAAAAAGTTAAAAAAGGCACAGCGAGTCACGAGGAAGATAAAAATCAATGTTTTAAAACAAATTAAGTCAACAAGCATTCAAATCTTCTTGGTCGACTGGTTTAGGGGATTATCAACCGGTTCCGATGCAAAGAGGAGAGCTCGGCAAAGACTGCCCAGCAAGAGGCTCCAGACGCAGCAGTCTTCTCCAAAAAAGGAGACTGGAGAAGTGGGTCAAGCCATGGCAGGGGCGATTCCTATGAGACTACCAAATCAAAATACACTTAGATTCATCCATTAACTCGCTCCTATGTAAACAAACACGGCGAAAAAGTAAATTAAAAGGCTTAAATCCAATTAAAGCCGGTGTAATGTAACCAAACAACATGTAGGGCAAATTGGATAAGGTAATCTGACAAGGAAAGAAAGCGACGCCACAAGCATGACCAAACACCGCCTGAATATAAATCACAAACAAAGTCAGGTAAAGGTGATTAAAACTAAAAAATGTTGGACAAACTGCCCCAATGAGACACATTTGCAGGAGTCAGAAGCTAATGTGGGATGTAGGCAACGTTTTAAAGTGGGCATAAGGGTTTGTCTTACATCATGCGGATGGGCTAATGTGGTTCAGTAGTGCGCCGGCTGAGAGCTCACCCACATAAAACAGCTCTGAAAAAAGTGCGTATAGCCTGCGCAATTTGGCTCCTGGCTCACCAATGTGGGGCATCCCCATCCCGCAAAAAATGTGGGTGAAAACGTTGACTGGAGCCCCTGGCAGCTGGGTTTGGCGTGACAGAGAGAAAAAAAGCAAATTGAGCTAATAAGGACCATTATGCTGCCAGTCAATCAGCTGCTTACCTGCGCTTGTTACGCAACACCAACCTCCCCCTTGAATTAAGCCACAAAAACGCACCAGAATGCAGCTTTTTTTCTTCGTGCCAAGTGAAGTTTGAGCTCAATAACCTCATTCTGGTGTTTGCACGTCGAGTCTATACTGCCCTCTTCGTGACCGTGGTGTGAAAATTGATGTGACCGAACTCACCTGCCCATTTGCCCAGCTTTGGATAGAGCATCATCCCGTTCCCCAAGACCCAGATCCTGAAGCCTGAGAGCAGCTTGTAGAGGACCCACAGCAGCAGGGAGGCCACGGTGATAAAGCCGACCCAGAAGAGAGGCCTGCGCAGCGTCTCCTCCACGTTCATCCAGTTCATGGCAGCGGCGACTCGGCGTGTGTGAGAGAGTGTGTGTGTGTATGTGTGGAGACCTCAATTTTAGGCAATGTGCTCTAATTTCCAAGACACAACGTGAGAGAGAGTCCCTTTATAAGGAGGTTGTAGCATCACACACACTCCCCCAACACTTGTCTAGCCTGATTTAAAACGCACCGCCCACCTGGTGCTTTAGCCCCGCCCCTTTTATGCTCTCACTCGCTGCAGCAGCTGTCTGTCGGATGATTCAGCCTCTGGATTGGTGTGTTTGCGTGTCAATCCTCTCCACAGCGCTCCCCATTCATTAGGTTTTCTGTATGAAGCTGGGTGGGTCAAAGGGCGACCGGGATGAGGAGCGATTGGGCAAACATTACTTCAGATCCCATCCGGAGGCTGCCATTGGCTCTCAGTAGAGCAGGTTTGTCGGTTTCAGTCATGATTATGAAACCCTCCAAACCCACGCTTTCGGAAAAAAACTGCCTGCACCACTTTATGAATGAAACAATGCCCTCATTGGTGAGAAATGTGCACCTGCTCCCGCCCCTGGGAGACAGTTTATTGGCTAAAGTGATGCCAGTCTGTGAAGTCAGCATGCTCCCACCTAGACATGAGTCACTCGTCTATTTTAGGTATTCCGCCTGCATCATACTGCTGATACCGACTGAAATGTGCTGCAGTGAGACATATTAACGCACATTTGTCACCTGTATTGCGCCAGATAACTCGTCCAAAGGTGCCTCTGTCTGCTGTAACATGCTCGAATACAGGTTCCCCAAACAGTAAAAACTACAATCTCCAATCCAGTTTTCGCTTTTAGACTCTCGCGAGAGTACGCACATATAGTAAATTCCCCATTTCTTACATTTAGGAGGGGGAGATGAGATGTGATGTGTGTGTTACATAAACATTGGGAAAGACACGTGCATTTCCATCGCTTTATTTTACACTTTAACATATTCACATGAATAAGCCTTACAGATGTTTGGATGTTGCAGCAAAATCACGTTTTTCTCCTACAAGCTCGTTTTTTTTTAGCTCTTTTACTCACTTCGACCCAAAAAGGCGTTCTGCAACAGCATTTTTTAGATCCACATCACGCCCACTGCCGCCATGTCTCCCTCTCACACACACACACTCCAAAACTAAACATGGAATTCTGACACACCGATGCTCCATGGCACAAAGCAAAACATGTTGTGTACTCAGCAGAGGGACAAGAGTATAAAACAGTGTGAACATGCTGACAGGCTTCGTGCAGCTGCTCGCATTCTTTGACACAAGTGGAGGCATCGAAGTCAACGTGACACCGAGAGGAAGCAAGTTGTGTAACAAGCTCAAACATGGGGGGAATTAAATGCATTTCTCAACAGCTGTATCTCAGTCTTAGATATTACTATGTGCAATAAAAACATATTTGCAAAATGTCATCTGTCACAAACATATTTTAGACAAAAAAGCAGCGATTTTATACTTTGGCATCATGCAAAGTCAATATTATTTCACATTTATTAATTTAAAGGCTTTCTTAGGGAAGTCGTTTTTGCATATTTTCACAATTTTCACATTAAAACAGCACATACTCAGCATTTAAGTCTAGTGTAACACAGAGCCATTAAATAACATTTGATTTGTAAGAGAGTAGCCTCAAATCGTGCTTAAATGAATAACATAAAATACAATCAAGTTTCACACATTGCACACACTACACGCACACACTGCTGTCGGACGTTTCGAAAGAGCCCAGCTTCACGTCTCGGTCGTGTCCTCGCAGCCAAACAGCTGAAAACAAGAGAGAAAATGTGGATTTAGTTTTGCACATTTCCCTGTGAAAATCTCTACATGTGTGTGTGAAATCTGCAACACATGTAACACGCCAAGCAGTCAGAAAACGTGCAAAACACAATCAATTATCAACGTGTCCTCCGCACTTTAAACTCACATACTGTTGTATTTTTCGAGGGGATCTATTAGTATTAAATACGCACAATAAGCTAGAATATTTTTTTGTACCACTTTGTGCAACAACGATACCACGAACTAGGCTACATCTTCAACTAACCTCAACTATTCAGGTTTTTTTGTTTTGTTTTCACGAACAGTATTTACCCCTCCTGGTACACACACACACACACACACACACACACACACACACACACACACACACACACACACACACACACACACACACACACACACACACACACACACACACACACACCACACACACACACACACACACCTCTCTGTCCATACATTAATCCAACTGTGATATCTTTAATTTGAGTAACAACGTTTGCTATAATTAAAAGATAAAAAAAGATCATGGCAGTAATTCGGACTAATGTTTCCTCTGATCGTTACTCAAACTGATAAAACAATAAAAAAAACATCCTGACTTTTATCACTTTTATTTTATCCACTTTATTATTTACCTTAATACACTGGATTTTTTCCCAGGAATCGTGTATATTATACACACGCTTTACCAGAGTTTACAGCCAGTTAACACGTTTTAATTGTCTGCATATTTACGTGTCGCTGTCCACCTCTGTGGTGCTGAACCGCGCATTTCAGCCCCGTTTTAGTGGACATCGACACACACACATTCACTTTAACATCCTTAAATATGTATATATGTGTACATGCAAATGATCGACTCCTGCAGGGCTTTTTTACATCTGCAGAAGCATCTAACACACACCTTCCAGACACAAGCAGAACACACACTCCTGTCCTCCACACACACCTTCAGTAACTACTCCTGGTCATTTTGGGCTAATTTTATTCACCGATAACATGTCTGACACATGGTGCTTCTTTAAGCTTTAACAATATGTGTTCTGTTGAAGCAACACCAGTGCAACACACACATCCAAATCCCTCTATTGCATTTCCTAAATCTGTGATAGCCATTACATTACCAGGAACATGACACTGCTTCATCTGAGTTACATCCCCACGATCGAACTCTCCTTTTTCTTAACTCTAAATAATGACTGCAACTTTCATAAATATATTCACAGTGAGTCATGTTGAAAGCCTTTAAAGGTATTTACAAGCAACACAGCTTTAGTGCATCCTCCGAACAATACTACAGATAATTACAAGCATCATTTGTATTTCTATTTGTATTTTATACATACCTATGGTCTGGTTTTAACTGAAGAGACCAGAGCAACGTGCAGCAGCCGCACCTGAGGACACACAGAACAGAAATGCATTCATTTGACTTTCAGCAGAAAGACAGAGCAGTGGGTATGACAGAAGGAAAGCTCCGACACATAAAGCTTTTATTTTATATATTCAAGTGTGTAACCATGATCAACAAAAAGGACTAAGGCATTATAGCAATTGTTTAGTTATCTCTGCTGATATTAGGAGCCACAACTCCAGCTAAATATAATTTTAAAATGTATACGTCTACATTTAAAACCCCATCATTTTTCCCTCTATTGCAACTTTGAAAATACATTTATAATAACCAGGGGCTGAGAAATGACCTAGTTTGGAATCTGTGTATTGTTTCGGTCTGTCTCGAACACGTCTCAATAAATAATCAGCTTTTGTTACTGATCAAATTATATTTTCAGTTATAACGCGTCAAAAACCAGGACTACAAGTAAAATGTGTGTGTGTACTTTGAGGCATTATAATCAGATAGCTGTGATTAGTTTTTGTGTAACACATACATGTCACATACCTGTGTGTGTGTGTGTGTGTGTGTGTATGTATGTATGTGTGTGTGTGTGTGTGTGTGTGTGTGTGTGTGTGTGTGTGTGTGTGTGTGTGTGACTTCTGTCCATTTGTACAGTTGCATTACATTGTCTGTTACCTTTTTATCTGAGTGTCCTGCAAAAATAAGACATCACACATCTTTTTAATTCATTGTGTCACTATACAGTGGACTTTTTATAACACACACGCTCACACACGCACACACACGTATACTCGCTCTCTCACACATGTGAAATAAAGAAGAAAACAAAACTATATTTCCACATTTACATTTCTTTGTGTCTGTACAAAGTCTTGACTTCATATTTAAAAAGAAAACGAAAGGAATCAAGATGTCTAATTTCAACACACACACATACATACAGACATACAACCAGACACACACACAGAAAGACACACACACACACACACCTTAATTGTGCACGTATAAGCATGATAAACTCAACCTCAGACAACTCAGAAAAACGTGGAGATTTACGCTCACACCACACACACACACACACACACACACACACACACACACCCTCTGCACCCCATGTATCACTGAATACTATCTCTACTCTCTGCAACATATCTTTCAATTACAGTTTGATGCTACCTGCCTCAGAAAGCATCACTAAACATATAAACCGTACATGAATAAAAAAACACCTGCTTTTCTTGATCCACATCAAAAGGAACACATTTCTCCTCCATAAAACATGGGGTGTCATTCTGCCTAAATAATCATATATGTAAAATCATCCCATCATAACTTATTTATTTTTAGATTTGAAATAAGATAAGAGAAAAGGACATAATTTAGACATCACTATTGTCTCCGTTTTTATGTTTGAATTGACACTGTACATTAACACATATTACAATACAAATATAATATTAAAATAGATTCAAATATTGAACATAACATATTAAAATATGCAGTAAATGTCAGCTTATAGTCGTTGTATGTTTAAATAATCGTCTCTCTCTGAATTTCATCTATAGGATGAAACACGGACACACACACACACACACACACACACACAGATTCCCTGCCGTTACGAGTGTGTGTGACTTCCCACAGCCTTGTGTGTGTCATTTCAGATCATTTTCTGTACTTTACAAAACATTTTATATCAATGTATCTTCTGTTTATTTAACTTACTCATCCTACCAAATGCATCTCACAGGGATCAGGAGTGTGTGAACTAAACTTCCAAACCTCTTATTGCAGGTCTGTTATATTCGGTGTCCCGAACCTAAGCAATCAGAAGATTTGATCTAGAAACACCAGCCTTGGGATTGTTAAAAAATCCCATCAGACAAACTCTTGTTAAGACACATGTAAACACATTTAGGGGGAGATAATGCATACTCGGGGGTGAGGGTTCACCCAGAAGACGTTACTTTGT